GGCTGGGTCGACAGACCACGCGACAGATCGTCGTGGTCACAACGGACCATCATGGACTCCGTCGTCCCATGCTTATGCAATTTCTTCTACTGCTCTCTTCACCACCCTCGATGGCAAGTATGACGGACCATCATAGGTACAACGGTCCGTCGAGAGCCTTCGTTTCAAAACACTTCAACTCTTGGAATATGGGTACTGGGATCACTTCTCTGAACTTCATGATGAACCTGTAGGACGGACCGTCACAAGCTTCGTAACCCCACACTTGGTAAGACTTCCCCATCTTTCTTCAGTAGCTGCACTACGCTGCCACCTGTGGACCGTCACAAGCACAACGGACCGTCATAAGCTCCGTAGGTGGTCTCTTCTGCATTTCTTCGCTCAAAATCTTTGCATTCAGCTTTGGACAGATTTCCTGCAAAACAAATATAAACTTATATAAAAATTAGCACACAAAAGGCTTTTGGACACACTAAACTTAAGGAAAAAGTATTAATTATACCGTGAAACTACGGTATATCATATACACACATGTAAAAGGGGATAAAGAAAAAGGGAGGTCAGGATAGATTTAGGCAATGACATTTAAACTACAGAGAGGGACCAGGTTCTTTCTCGAAGGTCAGCAATCTTAACATTGCGGTTTGAATTATGCATGAGAACCATTGCAATTGCCACATGTCTGTCCTTCAGGAATCTGATTGTTGTCTTATCTTTTGAGTGCCAAAATAATACCTTATTTTCTCTTTCTTTATATTCCATATTTCTTTCTAGTTCCTCAGAAAAATCAAGTTACCTTCCAAATATCAAGGTGCTTCAAAATTTTCTTTTCTTTTCTTTTCAAACACACTTCAAATTGTTAACCCCCTTTATTCTTGTTGGAGAATTCTCGGAGGCCTTGAGTTGTTTGTGTTACCAATCTTTTTGTTATGAAAAACTCAGGCTGGTATTGGAAGATATGACAGTTGCTCGTGCTAACTGGAATATTGAAATGGATTGTCTAAAAGTACAGCTTCTGAAACAACTATCAGAGGGACCAGGTGCCAACAAAAAAATAATAATAATTAAAAAAAAGAAAAATTTGCAGCCCTGAAGGTTAAACATACAGATTGGGTTGCACATCATGTTGTACGTTAAGAGAAGATTGTTGAAATCTTATGCTAAGGGATGTGATCTATTCATTCTATTTTTTAAATCCCTTGCCTCTTTCTCTTTCTATCTCTCTATGACAGTCCTCATTACTCTTTTTGGGTATTGTTCTGGTTTCCATTTGTAATCATATTTATAATGCTTTGATGGTTGATTTTTTTTTATTATGGATGAAAAATATCTTGTTTCTACTAACTTATCTCATTACTTTATGACTTTTTTACTCATGCTTAGTGTTGCCCAAGCGGCCATAAATTTGCCTAAACTGCATTTCTGTTTACTTGGTTTAATGGTTTAACCCTTTTTTATGATGTCAATAGAGGGAAAGTTGTTAAGTTAGGGTATGATATAAATGGTGTTATAAATGCTTGAAGAAGTATGATATCAATGGTGTTATCACTGCTGGAAGAAGACATGGATCATGACGATAAGGGGGAATCAATGCTAGCTGCTTGAAAAGGAAATTGTTTTGTCGACAGGGGGAATAATGGTTGCTACCTGAAGAGGACCTGGTCCTATTGATAGAGAAAAGTAGATGTTTGTCATCATCAAAATAGGGGAAAATGCTATGTTGATGTTTTGATGATTTGACAAACTTTGAGGATGATTAAACTCCAGTTACCCTAATAATTCTTGTTGATAGAGGGAACTGGTGAATATGTTTGTCACCATAAAAAAGAGGGAAAAAGCTATATTGATGTTTTGATGATTTGACAAATTTCGGGGATGATTTAACTCCAGTTACCTAAGAAATCTTTTTGATAGGGGAAACTGGTGAATAAATATGTTATCATCAAAAAGGGGGGGGGGAATTTTAGTTCGAAGTTGAGTTGAGATGATATCTCAAACTTGATATGAAGTTTTGATGATTTCACAAACTTATTGATCAAACAAGGAACCAAATCCTTGTTATTGGAACTGCTAACAATGAGATAAATGATAAACTCAGTGCGAGGTATATTTGTGTGCTATCATCAAAAAGGGGGAAAATGTTATACTCTAGGTGTTTTGATGATCCTCACAAATGCGGGGACCTGGTCCCTGGCAGAGTGCTCTCATCTAAATACAAATAGGGTACAGTCGTAAAAGCTTTCATGTCATGTGGTAGGTGAAAAGTGCAGTGTCCTACACCAATAAGAAGAGCGGACGAGATTGTATGTTTCAGTATCTCACTAATGCAGGGACCTGGTACCAGGCAGAGTTTCCTCCATCAGATACATAATTAGTTATAGCTGTAAATATGTCACATCAGAGGTTAGCGAGGCGTCAGTAAACTACACCAATCAGAATGGAGGAGGATTTTTGTCCAACGGATAATAACTCTTTATGTTTGATACTTTTAGCATGACAAACACCATATTATATTTATTCATTCAAAGAAGGAGGTTAGCCAGCAAGACTTTTCAAGAACTCACAAAGAAGTTTGCAAGGGACCTGGTCCCAGTAAGACTGCGACGTGAAAAGGTGAAAAGATAGCTATTAGAAAAGCCGCCACCTATGATGCGGTAGGTGCACAATTTTTCCAACAGCAGGCCTTCAACTAATCGGATGGTTTCAACAAATTTGTGGTGAATTATATCATCTCTTTTCATCAAACACAAATTCAATATTTGGAAAACTCAACTTGGATTTTCTCACAAAATTCATAAGCTTGAAAATTGAAGGCCATCTTCAAGGAAGAACACTGCTCATCAACAAGGAACCAAATGGAGTGCTAAAGAGTCTTGTTGTATTTAGATCTTAGTGTCTTATGTGCTTACATTGTAAATCTGATCCTAATTTATAAAGGAATCAGATTGTTTTGGTTTGTTGAAAGTCTAAATGAGTTAAGGTTACCTGATTTAGTGGGCAACATTGTTTTGTTGCTTAGTCAAAGTCTAAATTATCTAGGGGTGATAGCTTAGTGGGCGGTGTTGTATCCGCTTAGGCTCTTCAAGTAATAGGTAGATTACTTGATCGTGATATTAACTTTTTCTCACATTCGTTATAACCGGGTTTTACTTTTACTTGAGAAGATTAGTGAAGACGGTTGAAAATCCTGTCCAACAGGTCATGGTTTTACTCCCTTGAGCAATGAGGTTTCCACGTAAAGTTGTTTGTTCAACCTTCATTTCCAGCACTTATTTTATTGTCTGTTATTGTAACTGTGCTGAGGACCTGGTCCCATCTAAACAGGTGGACGCAATTTTTAGTTACTGTTCTTACTGTGTCAAGGGACCTGGTCCATTGACTGTTAGTGGACGCACCCATTCCAACATTCCTCAATTTTAATTTTAAAAAAATATAAGAATATAATTTCTACTAATTTAGAGTTTCATAAATATTTAATAATTTTCTCTTTATTTTTTTATTATTTATTTCTTAAAAAAGAGAATTTATTCCTATATGATAATGATAGAGAAAGAAAATAACAATTTACGTTTGGGGCACGTCAAAACCAAGCTTTGAAAAAGCTTTAATGGATAATGGAGTCTAAAATACCCACTAACTCAAAATCTCCTTTTACCATTCCCAAATTTTAGATATTATCTCTCTCAATTTTCGAGTCTTTTGAAATATTATTCACTCGAAATAATTATGGTTGCGGCACTTCAAATTTTTAAAATCAACAAATTTTAATGGCTAGTGGAGTCTTTTAATCTTCACCAAGTCAAAACCCCCTTTAAATAGTCCCAAATTATATATATGATCTCCTCTTGATCTCCCAAATCTTTTGATATTATTATTCACTCAAAAATAATTTACGTTTGTGTCACGCAAAAATTCAAAATCAAGTTTAATGATTGAATATTTTTGGCACACAATTGGTTGTCAAACATAGGTAAATTTTGTTCCATCACACTGCCCCTCTCGAGTTGATCCAATATGTACTTCTATTACTTATAAACTGATATCCTCCTTTACAACTTCACATATATTCATGTGTTACACACTCTGTTAGTGAAAAACTTACTAGATAACAAAAAAATACAAAATTACAATTGAAAATAAAAATTAAGAAAATAAATCTCTTAAAGGCTGAGGCGCGGATATCTCGCTCTCTTTAAGGAGATTCAAGCCCACTGCAGCAAATATTTTCACCGGTCCAGCATTAGTCCTCTTTGACTTGTCCCCTCCAGGATACAACAACCTTCACAAATTATAACTCAACAACTCTGGACAAGAGTTGAGTCCAAAGCTCCACAAAGAAGAACAGTTGCCTTCAACTAATAAGAACTCTCTTTTAGACTAACACTTTCACTCTATGTTTTTTCTCTTGTGTATTGTGTGTGTCAAACAAAATAAAGACCACTACTATTTATACTAGAAGAAGTCTTCCTAGCAATGAATAGGAAGATAATGGTGAAGTGAATAATGAAAATAATGGTCTTAGGAGTTATATAGGTTACGAGGATAATGGAGGAGTAAAGAATGAAATAATGAGAGGGCTAACCAATCCTCTAACGTGCATATGCACAACGGCCAACTTTCCAAACGTTCATCACAAAGTATTATGCTATAATGTCTTTGAATATTTAAGTATCCACTAAGTAATTAGGCAAAAAGCATTGCAATGGTCATAACTCCCATATCCTCAATTACATTCCATTGTGGCAGAATGGCTAATTTAGCCTACAACAAAATTATGTGAGATAAATTAATAATAATTAAATATTAAAATTCTCAAAAGGCCACCATACTCTCCTAAAGAAAATTATGTATTTAAATAAAATTTTGACTTCAAACCAACCATACCATTTCTAAGAAACATTCAACAATTTAAATCTATGTAAAAGAAATTTTTTACTTCAAGATAAGAATAACACTCTTGTAAGAACAAATAAAAAACAGTTGAAACTAACATTTTTGGGGGTCTTCAAAAATGAGAACCCCTCCAAAAATTGGCGTATGCCATTAATAGCAGCGTGCACATGGTATTCTTTAGTAAAACGCGAAAGAATAGTTCGCTATGTGCTCACGGCATGGCTGAGAAAGTTTTGCAACGAATTTATGTGTTTTTTTTATATTATAACAAAGTTTATATTTACTTATTACTTAACAGTGTAGTACTCGCCTCACTACTTTAATATCTATATGAACACAAACCATTATGTTTCTTGATGATTCTGAATACATATGGTCACAACTTAAAAACTGATCAATGATGAAATGTTACCTAAAATGTTTTGGCCAGTATCTTGAATATAGTTAAATTACCTAGAATGTTTTGGCCAGTATCTTGAATATACTTGTATTGTGCGTAAAGTCAGGATTTTTATTAAGAAAATCTAAAAATAAACATATGAAGAAAGGCAAAAGGATTCAACAATAAAAATAATTTTAAGATTATATATGGAGTGTAAATGTGTAATTTTTTGATGAAGGAACATAAAATTTTGAAAATAAAGACATGAAGAAGGCAAAAGGATTCGACAATAAGAATAATTTTAACATTATATATGGAGTGTATAATGTTTCTTCATTCAGAATTATTGAAATGTTTTATCTACAAACATTATAGTTGTTGTTAAAAGTTTCTTCCATTCAGGATATCTCTTACCCTCTTGGAATGAAACTTTTATTACTTTAATCTTAATTTATTACTTTAATCTTTAAAGTAAAGAATCCTAGTGTTATTAGTTAATTTAAACCTATTAGTCTGCGCTCTACCATAAATAAAATTATAACTAAGATTATCGAAGCAAGATTAAAAAAGTATTTGCCTAGTATAATCTCTCATAATCAATCTGCCTTTGTAGGGAGTAAACATATTGTTGATATTGTTGTCTTGGATCATGAGTGTACACATGTGATGAAAAATAAGAGGAGAGGGAACGATAAATTTATGGCCTTAAAAATAGACATGACAAAAGCTTACGATAGAGTGGAATGAATATATTTCCAATATTTACTTTTGAAAATGGGTTTCCTTTTTGTTAGTTGAATTATGCAATGTATCTCGCCACCTACTTACAAGTTTAATATTGTCATGCCCCGAGCCTACATTGTGGACGTGGCCAGCATTTAAAGACCATTGTCGTCTTCGAGCAGATCATTGGGCTGGTTTACTTAACTCAGTGAAGACTTAACTTAATAAAAATTTCTCATTCGATAACTGAAAGAATAATAAATTGGCCAAAATGACACTTAAGACTCATAACAAAATATCTGCAGCACAAAGATGAGAGATTCAAAACTATGTCTAACTATTTATGAAGCCTCTATAATATAAATGGATCTTGGGACATTACCTCCAATCATCCTAATAATTGAAAACTAAAGACAATAACAGAATTATAAAGATGTCCTCCAGAATGCAAGGAGGCTTACCTTTGACTTTGAGTGCTCGATTGGATCAACGAGGCGCTGGATGATGATAATCCTAGTTAAATGCGTCTGCATTATAAGATGATGCAGGCTAACTGACATCAGTACATTGGATTTACAAGTATGAAAGTTGAAATGCTAATAAAAACTTAAGCTTGAAAAAGAGTAAGAAGGAACACTTATCTTGTCTCTATTCAACTCATGAATAACTTGACTTAATATAAATCAATAAGATACATTCAATATATAAAAACTTGTGGAACAATGAAAACACTTAGTTCGTTAAAGAAATATAAAAACAAACTCAACTTTACTTATATATGAAGTAATATAGTTTATGCGGGAGATTCTCTAACCGAAAACCATCACTATGAGCCTAAGTGATAGTACAACGTCTTACCTCACGTTGCAAGAGGACTGTCTATACATTACCATCAGTGTAGAACCTGAAATACTAAGTGGATCCACTAGTTTATGCTAAAAAGAACTAAGGAATCATCTAAAAAGTATTTTGTCCATGAAGGCTACATGATTTATGCCTTTATGGGGGCTTGAGTTATTATGAACTCGAGTCCCATATCGGGGCTCAATACTACTCCTAAAATGCTTAGCTAATATGTTTTTGAAAACAACTTCTTCTCTGATTTTAGATAATTTCTCAAACTTAGCTTAAAAGCTCTATTGGAAATCATAGTTTTTTCTTTACTAAAAGCTAGCCCAAAGGCCCTTTTTGGAAGTCTTAGCTTTCCTTTTTTGGTTTTCCTCAAATGTGATTTGTAAATCTTAGGGAATACTAAGTTCCTTCATAAATTTTGAGAAATGAACTCAACTCTTTAATCTTTGTTTAACTTGCAACTTGATCCTTAAGACGAATTTAAAACGTTTGTTAAAAGACCCTAGAAATTTTGGGAACTTTCTTTAACTTGCTTCTTAATTTCTTAACTTGGCCCTTAACTTCCCTTGAATTTGAAGTTTTGGATTCAAAGTTGAAACTCATGTTGTTAGATGACTTCCATAGGTTTAGAAGTCATTTACAGAAGTTCGAATCAATAGGAAGTGTTAAAACACTTTAGAAGGACTAAAATGGACTGAACGATTGAATTTGGGCGAAAAATGCTAATTTGAGCGCATTCGAGGTGCGTCATTCCAGCCTCAAATGACTAGGGCTTGATCGAGGCACACTGATGACGCGTTGTGCCATAACTCATGTTCAGAGGCTACTTTCGGGCGAACTACAGGCGCAACACGCCAGTCTGCCTGACGCTATGGGGGCGTGTCGCGCTACTTGTTACTTCAGGTAAAATCTTACAAACTTTTACTCTTGCTTTTTGATCTTAAATCATTTTAAATCAATTATTTTTCTCAAATTATCCTTAGATTAACGTACCAAAATCATAAACACAATGATCTAACTGAAAGAATTCAATAAACAACACTTTAATTCTCAAGGAAATCTTAATCTTAACCCATGTTCATGAACAGAAGCAATTCAAGAGGAACATTCAAAATCAAATATTTTTAGCTAAAATCACGCTTAATCAAACATGCTTGGCACGTGGGTGAACGAACCCAACGTTGAGATAGATTCACACCTTGATAGGGATCACCTCCGACGAATTCCACTCGCAAAGCTTGACGTTTTGGGTGAATTCTTGACTTCTCTCCCTTTATTTCTTCTTTATTCTCTTCTCCAATCCCTAAGTGTAATGCTAACTTTTTGAAACTGAACTAGTTTAGTTTTTACGCCAATAAATCCCTAAAACTAAATAGAAAATAATTTGGTGAAAAGACTAGTTTGTCCTTTCCTAAATCCGAATTGGGACTTTCCTCAATCCAACAACTCAACTTTCGAAAATCATAACTCACTCATACGATATTGAAATCACGCAAACTCAGCGAAGTTGGAAAGATTATTCCAAGATTTTTTCACCCATATTCAGAAGAACCTCTAACTCATCCTGATCTAGATGTTATGGTTGTTTGTAGATGACCAAAACTCACTTTCTTAACTTAGAATTTTTTCCAGATTTTCCCTTTTCTTTCCTAAAAGAAAAAGGATAATTTTTAGTTTCTTAGTTATTTCAAGCTGCAAGATGTTACAAATATAAATGGTGAAATTGTTGGGGTTGTACAACCTAGTAGAAGACTAAGACAATGTGATCTTTTATCCCCATATTTGTTCATATTATGTGCTGAAGGACTTTTCAGGCTTTTGAACCAAGCTGAGGCATTTCTTCGCTCAAAAACCTCCGCATTCATCTTTGGAAAGATTTCCTGCAAATAAGGAGAAACTTATATAAAAATTAGCACAAAAAGGCTTTTGGACACACTAAACTTAAGGACAAAGTATTAATAATACCGTGAAACCACGGTATATCAACACCCTCAACTTAAATTCGTTGTTTGTCCTCAAGCGACGCACTATGACTCAATACACAATCTTTATACAATAGTATCCATGTTTTATCCGTTCCAATCATTTGGCTATCAATCTTGATTAATCTCATCATATTTATGCATGCTATCACTATTAGGCTTGAATTATGTGGAATCAGACCATGACACAGACTCACCATGCACTAACACCTATCCTCTTCAATTTCTCACCGAGGTGCTAATATTTCATGTACAGCAACTAGTGTCCTCACTTCAAAACAAAATCCTCGTTTTTCACACAATGATTTCAGTTTGAGTATAAGGAATACTTTTCAACACTCACTCTCAAAACAAATTCACACTCATTCATAACTATTGCCATAAGTTTTCCCTTATTTTCACTGCTTTAAGTTCGCTATACAACCCTTATGATCACGATAGGACTTTCTTAGCTTGTAACACAGGCTCAGGGTCAGGTAGGGTATATATAGGTATACTTTAGTGACTTTTTTCCCTCCTTGACATATCGGCTAAACACCATTTTCTATCATTTTATTTTGCCCAGTTTCCCATATTCTTTCACCTTGCTATTTTCCCTTTTTTCTTGATTTGTGTAAGTGACTCTCTTCTTTTCTTTCTTGTATTTCTTGTAATTTTTTTATTACTATTCTTTCAATTAATTCTTGAGTCACTTTACTTTTGTTCTTTCTTTCTATTTGTTCTTTCAACCCCACTTTCCAGAGCATTCCTCATAATAGCCACCCTCAACTCATGGTTTTGCCATGAGTCAAAGTACACAATACCCAAAGTTGGGCCAGGGCCATAAAAAGGTTGTTTACTACATTAGCCACTCTCAACTTATGCTTTTGGCATAAGCTGAGGTGCACATGTCCAAGGAGGGACCAGGGCCAACTCATTATTCCCCGAAAAGATCAGCTGGGTGAAAAAGAAAGGTCTAATTTAAGCTCAAATCATTTGGATCAAATAAGGATAAATTTCATTTGGTTTTCTTTCATTTAGGATAAAAATGGGCTATATTGAATAAGAGACTATGATCCTTTCCTAATTGTCTATTATAGCTTACTTTTAGAAGGACTAACCAGGCAAGTTCTAGCTCAGTACAAATAGTGGACTATTCAAATCTTCCTCACACTCACTTGACATCTCATCACTCTACCATATTATCAGACACATAGTTCGAATTTTAGACTTAGGGTCATGCAGTGGTGTACCTCTATGTCATGCTTAGAGCCACACATTTATCAATTACTATGCCTAGTCATGC